TGGAGGCCTCTTGGGGCCTCTTGGGGGTCTCTTGGAGCTTCATGGCGGCCTCTTGGAGTCTCTTGGAGGCCTCTTGAAACCATCCTGGGAGCCTCTTGGAACCTCTTGGGGGCTTCTTGGGGCCTCATGGCGGCCTCTTGGGGCCTCTTGGAGGCCTTTTGGAAGCCTCTTGGGGCCTCCTGGGCGCCTCTTGGGGCCATCTTGGAGGAGATCGATCACAGAAGAGGGTGGGGTTAATTAGCCCTGCCCCCCCCCCCAAAAGGCCAAAATGGGGCCAAAACCCTAGTAAAACCGATGATTTTGGCTTCCTCGCCGAGGCCGTTTTGGGCGCTCTAATTACCAGCGGCCCCCCCCGTCCAAGTCCAGGGGAGGGGTTAGGGGGAGGGGTAAACCCCTCCCCGAAGGGGAAGGAGGGAAGATGGAAGAGGAAATTCCCTAAACCACCTACGCCCAGAGGGCTGGTGGGATTTCCAGAAAGCTGGCCCAGGTTTCTTAAGCTATGATTTTCTTGATCATATTTTCTGCTGTCGGGGGAGATGCATCGACACCCAATCGCTAATTGATCGCCGATAGGGGCCCGATAGCCCCGCCCCTCCCAGGAAGGTGCGGATTCACTATCGGGGGCCTATCGCCGAGCTATCGACTATGTATCGCCGATTCCATGTCGATGCATCCCCTCCTATGCCTATCCCCCCCCATCGTTGTCCCTCACACACGGTGTCAGAACCAAACGCGGAGGTCGCCACATGAGTGACGCAAACAACACGGGTTCGTCGTCACCGACATCGGCGCGCAAGCTGCCCCCGTGAGGTCGCGCGTGAGCGCTCTCGTCTCCAACATGGCGTGCTGCGCTGGCGGGCCCGCGTAAGCCGCCGCGTAAGGTCGCTATGCCATCTCGCGTAGGACCCGCTCCCGTGGGTTGGGAGGACGGGGTCGGGAGGGCGGGGTTGGGAGAAATGAGGATCTCCTTACCCGTAGGCGGCCGAACGTATCGTTCAGCGCATCCAGATGCTATTGCTCGTGCCTTGTCTCCTCCCAACCCCTTCCTCCCAACACGATAACTGTTCTCCTCGTGTGTCCTCTCGCGTAAGACCCGTTCCTTCTCGCCGCTCACATGGCGACAACGACCGTCGTTCGCGGAGCTGTCTGGAGTCGATGAGGTAGCGCCGGTTCAGCGTCGGGTAGGAGTCGACGTGTGCCGATTCAGCGTCGCTTCGGCGTCGCTTTAGCTCCGATCGGCGTCGATTCGCAAGAGCCGACAGGATGGTATGGGAGGCTGCCACGAGTTGCCACCGAACGTTCCTTGTCGTCGTAGTATTAGTATTCTTCTTCTCCGCATCATTATTCGTTTTATTATGAGTATTATTATTATTTGTAGAACTACTATTAGTATTACTATTATTATTATTACTACTATTATTATTATTCCTATTATTATTATTATTATTATCGTTCGCCTGGCGACGACGGCGCCGGCGACGGCGACGGTGACGCCGACGGCGACGGCGACCGTCGTCTGCAAGAGTTGTCGGGCCTCCGCCCCGGCCGCGGCGGGGGGCGCGCCCGCGGGGTGCGCGTGCCGAGGTCCTCAACATCGCGTCGATGGTGCGGGACTCCGTGTGCCCGCGCCCTCCTTCCCGCCTCCTGCCTCCTCCGCCTCCTCCTCCATCTCCTCCGCCTCCTGCCTCCCGCCTCTTCCTCCTCCCTGCCTCTTCCTCCCCTTTTGGCCCCGCGAGGTCTCGCGCCGCGCTCCCCACGCGGTCGCCGAGGGGGTTGTCAGGGCCCCCGACCTCAGAGAGGCGGGAGGCTCGGGGCGGCATCCGGGTGTGGTGTCGTGAGCGAGCAGCGAAGGGGCGGCGGTGGCCCGTCGTCCTCTGATGCCAGGCTGTCATGGCTCGTTTTGCCGTCCAGGCACGCTGTCAGACGCGAGGCCCTCGCCTGAACAGTGGTCGCGGGAAACACCCTCCTCCTCCCTGCCCGCCCTCCTTCCTCTTTCTCCCTCCCCGCTCACCTCCTCCTTCCCGATCCGTTCCTCTCTCCCTCCATCTCCACCTCCTTCGCTTCTTCACTCCTCTTGCCCCCCAGTGACACCTCTCTTCTCCTCTCTCCCTCCTCCTCCTCCTCCTCCTCCTCCTCCTCATTCCCCCTTGCTCTCATCCTTCCTACCCCACAGTGGGTCACTATGAATACCTGCCTCCTCCTCCCAGAAATTGTCGCATTGCCACCGCCAATCCTGTGCATTGCATGTACACACATGGTTTCCAAGCTTGATGTTCGACCTGCGTTGCTAATCAGCGCGTTTCTGGCCCCGCAAATTGTGCGTTCTGGCTGCAGAGTTGGCTTCGATGAAGGATTTTCATGTAGCCTCCATCCAAAAGAACAGGCCTCTCGCCGCATCGCTGGCCGTATTCCTGCATCGTCAAACACGGTGCCTGAGGCTCAGAGGATTGGGCAAAGGACTTGAGGCCACGCCCACTCCGTAGCAACAGGCACGGTGGCGTATATGTATATATATATATATATATATATATATGTATATATATATATATATATATATATAGAGAGAGAGGTCTCCGCACGCACCACGCCCGCCCTTCCTCTTGGAGAAGATGACAAGAGGAATGGGGCGGCTCAGGTGCGTGCGCGGGCCGTGGAAGCGGAGGTTTCGGAGTGGGTTGATTCGTGCGTCGGAGACGTAGGGAGTGGAGTACTGATTTGGTGTAGACGGACGGGTTTGAGTGGAAGCTTAGTTTCAAGTTCAGTTCGGGGAGGGGGTCTGCTGAGTATTGGGTGTTGTTTTGGAGACGGACGCTGATGAGTCCTGGGTGTGCGGTGTAGACGGAGGGGGTTGAATCTAAGGTGAAGGTTCAAGTTCAGTTTTAGGAGGGGGCCTGTGTAATAGTGGGTGTTGTGTTGGGGACGAAGGCTGGTTAGTATTGCGCGTTGTGTTGTAGACGGATGGGGTTAGAGTAGAAGATTATCTTCGATTTCAGTTCGGCCAGGGGGCATGTTGAGCATGTGGTATTGTTTCGGGGACGGAGGCTGTTGAGTACTGGGTGTAATGTTGTAGACGGAGGGGGTTCGAAACGAGGGTTCTTTTCAAGTTCATGTGGGGGAGGGGGCCTGATGAGTCTTGCGTGCTGTGTTGGAGACGGAGGCTGTTGGGTACCTCGTGTTGTGTTGTAGACGGGGGCGGGCTCTGAGTAGAAGGGAATGTTCAAGTTCAGTTTGGGGAGAGGACATGTTGAGTATTTGGTGTTGTGTCGGAGGCGGGGGCTGTTGAGTACTGGGTGTAGTGTTGTAGACTGAGGGGGATTGAGTAAAAAGTTATGTTCAAAATCATGTGGGGGAGGGGGCTTGCTGAGTATTTGGTGTTGCGTCGGAGACGGAAGCAGTTGAGTACTGGGTGTTATGGTGTAGACGGAGGGGTCGAGTAGAAGGTTATGTTCAAGCTCAGCTTGGGGAGGGGGCCTGTTGAGTACTGGGTGTTGAGCATTGGGTATTGTTTCGGAGGCGGAGGCTGTTGAGTACTGGGTGTGGTGTTGTAGACGGAGGGGGTAGAGTAGAAGTTCATTTCCAAGTCCATCTGGGGGAGGACGCCTGTTGAGTATTTGGTAATGTGTCGGAGACGGAGGCTGCTGAGTACTGCAAGTGGCGAAACTTGCTCCGAACTTGGGCCGAAAAAGCGTTGCAAACAAGAAGCTTCAAACTTGAGTGCGAACATCGCAGGAATCATTTATGATTTCAGGTTCAAAACACGCCAAGGGGGTTCATGGTGCGCGCGGAAGGTTACATCGTATGTATACACAGACATCAGGAGATGAACACCCCCTGGTAAACAATAGGCAGGTACATGTGTGCATCTGTGAATATACATATTACGTATTCAGTTGTTTCCTGGAGCTCTGTCTCTCTCTCTCTCTCTTTCATTCTCTCCTTCTGTCTTTCTCTGTCGCTCCCACTCTTTGTGGCTGTGTGCAAATCATGAGAAGGGTCTGTGGCGGATTTACCCATCAAGTCCTTCGTGGGAATTGTGCACGTGTTGTTTTGCTTCTGTTGGAAGGTGGACGAACACACACTCTGTTAGTGGAGGAGACCAAGCAACACAAACTCCCAAGTACGCCCAAGACAGTGGGAAAACACACATCAAAGGAACAGTGGTGCGGTCGTTGCACCCGATGGACTTGCCAGAAGTACGCAGGTTCGACGGCGCGCGCTGTGTCTGATCAGTTTGTTCCCGATGTCGTAGCCGATTAAGACGTGCTCCCACATCCTGGGACGCGGGGAGCCATCCCGCCCTATGGACGCCGGGTAGGGCTTTGGGCCGGCGATCTTTTGGCAGGAGGTCGCGCGGGGCCCGCTTGTTTCGGTTCTTTGACTCTCGAGGCCTCTCTTGGTCCCAACCATCCGAAGGCTCCAGTGGCACAGGCCGCATGCGTCAACGCCACCCAGGACAGCGCTTCAAGGCCCTGATAGGGAGCTCCACCGAAGCCAGTACCCACGATGCGGTACTCGCAACTGCATGTGGTTGGGTCCTTCGTCAGGCTAGTTGTTTTCTGGGGGCTGCCTCGGTGGGGGCCGATGCGCATCACGCTGGGGCGCGTCGCGTGGGGCTGGCCATGGCCGGGCACGCGGGTTTCTCGAGCCGCTGGGCCTGGGGCGCCGGCCCCGGCTCGGAGTGCTCCCCCGGGAGAGTGCCGATCCCTGGACGGGGCTCGTGCAGTCGAGGCCCATGCCAAGAAGCACCCTGCTTGCCTCCAGGGAGGCCTTTGGGGCCGAGGAGTGCACCTTTCTTTCTCTCATGTTTCGCCCCGCCCACGAAGCGACGCCCAATTTCCGCGGGCGATATGCGGCGTAGTGAAGACAAGCTGCTGCTCGAGTAGCGTCGCGGTGATTCGCATGTAGTTGTGCTTCAGATTCCCTTGAATGTAGGATGTTGCGAAGGTGTTCCTCGATGTTGGCCGAGTTTGTTCGTCCAGGGGGTCGCACTTCTGGTCCGTAGCCGTTTTGGCTCAAGACGTTTCAGTCTCAGGCCGCTTGAGGTCACCTTTTCAAACCCGCTGCAGACCACGCCTGTTTGGCACTCCGTGCCTGAAGGCTCATCCATCATCACCAGACCGGAAGTTCTATGCACTCAGGCCGCCCCTTGCAGATGTGGACTGCATCCATGCACGCGAAGGGCGGCGCCCCCGCGAAGCGGGCGGCGACCGGCGGCGATGGCATTCGCCTCGGTATCCAGTTGGGCGCCAGCTCGGCTGGCGGCGGCGGCGGCCTCAAGAAGCACGCGGCGAGGACGGCGAGCGCGCTGCAGCCCCCCAGTTCACGGCTTGCAGACGGGGTCTCGCAGCGGGCCCCGCAGCAGCTTTCGTGGGAGGCGCGGGGAGCGGCGCTGCCGAACGAACTGGTGCAGAGCCCCCAGCACACGCCGCCGCCCGGGCTCGAGCGGATGCATGCCTGTCCGCGTTACTTTGCCAGCAGCACCACCTGCCCGTCCGAGGAGCCAGCCACATTCCACGAGGATGCCATCTCCCACGGGACCAGCAGTGGGGCGTGGCAGTTGGGCAAGTCAGCGGCCCCTCCAGGGCTGCGCTTCGATCAGCTCGACGCACGCGACGGCGCGGCGTTGGTGGACTTCTCGGCGGGGGGCCCATGCCAACGCCAGGCCCTCGACGCGCCGAGCAGGTGCTCTTCGGAGCCTGGACGCGGGAAGTGCGCGTTCGTTCTGACGCCGCCCAGCGCCATCGCGTCAGCAGACCACGCCCTGGGCACGGCGCGCCACGGGCAGTCCTCCAGCATGGGCCCAGACTGCAACGTCAGTTTCTTCCCAGACATCGAGTCCTGCTGCATGACTGGTGGGGAGCGTGAGTTTCGGGTCGGGATCGCGCTGCCAGAGTCACAGGCAGCGCACAGGGCAGCTCGCGCCGTGATGGCGGCGCCGCTGCCGCAGCCGGCCACGGCCGAAGCCTGCGCTCATGCCCAAGTCGACACGCCAGTGGAAGACCTGGCGCCCGCAGACGCAGCGGCCCCACTCGGTCTGGATGCCATGGGCGACCGTCCAGTGACCACGATGGTTGTGCGGAACGTGCCGCAGCGCACGACTAAGCAGGAGTTCCTGGACGAGCTCGACCAAACCGGATTTGCAGGTGCGTACGACTATGCTTACTTGCCACGGGACTTCAAAACCCATTTGGGCAATGGCAACGCGTTCGTGAATTTCATCAAACACGAGGCCGCCGCCGCTTTCGCAGCAGCGTGGCATCGCACATGCCGCTTCGGCTTGATCGCCGATGAGGGCATTTGTTTGAATGTTGCCGCAGCTTCTCTTCAAGGACTTCAGGCGAACGTTGATAAGTGGACGTCGTACCGCCGCAGTCGCGTGAAGAACCCCAACTTTTTGCCATTCTTGCTGCATGGGTGAACCTCACGGTCGAGTCCCTGGCTAAACGGAGTCCCACTTTGCCCTGATGAGCTCTGCTCTCTGAAGACTATGCCCTCGGCGTATGGCGCATACACGAGGGCAGATCGTTCAAGCGAACAGATGCTTGTTCAAGCGAAAAGCTGGTCCGTTCAAGCGAAACCGCAACAAGCGAAAACTACGTAGATAGACACAGAGAGACACAGAGAGACACATATAGACACAGAGAGACACAGAGAGACACATATAGACACAGAGAGACACATATAGACACAGAGAGACACAGAGAGACACAGAGAGACACACATATATACAGAGAGACACAGAGAGACACAGAGAGACGCAGAGAGACACACAGAGACACAGAGAGACACACATAGAGACATATAGACACAGAGAGACACAGAGAGACACAGAGTGAGTGACACAGAGAGACACATAGAGACACAGAGAGACACAGAGAGACACAGGGAGACACAGAGAGACACAGAGAGACACAGAGAGACACAGAGAGACACAGAGAGACACAGAGAGACACAGAGGGACACAGAGAGACATAGAGGGACACATATAGACACGGACACAGAGGGACACAGAGGGACATAGAGGGACACAGAGGGCACAGAGAAACACATATAGACACAGAAATACAAAGGGACACAGAGAAACACAGGGGGACAAAGAGGGTCACCCGGGCTGGGCGCCCAAGAGAGCCGGGAACCGGGATTTCGAGCTTTTCCAGGCACGATCTCTCCAAAATCCCGGTTCCCGCCATCCCGGCGGTCGCCGCTCGCAGGGGCTCGGGGCGCCCGACGGAGCCGGGAACCGGAATTTCGGGCTTTTCCAGGCTCGATCTCTCCGAAATCCCGGTTCCCGCGATCCCGACGGATCCCGACGGTCGCCGCTCGCCGGGGCCCGCCGGGGCGGGGCGCCCGACAGAGCCGGGAACCGGGATTTCGGGCAGGCTCGATCTCTCCAAAATCCCGGTTCCCGCCATCCCGGCGGCCGCTGGTCGCCGGGGCCCAAGGGGGCGGGGCGCCCGCCAGAGCTGGGAACCGGGATTTCGGGCTTATCCAGGCTCGATCTCTCCAAAATCCCGGTTCCCGCCATCCCGGCGGTCGCCGCTCCCGGCGGCGGGGGCTCGGGGCGCCCGGCAGAGCTGGGAACCGGGATTTCGGCGTTATCCAGGCGGATGGCGGGAACCGGGATTTTTGATATTCTTGTCCGGAACGTGTGGAGATCCTGGTCCCCGCCAGTTGCTGGGCCCTTGGGCGTGGACACCTTGTCCTTTTTGGGCTGCGCAGGAATCACGGTTCCTGCTAGTCGAGGGGCGAGGGAGTAGCCGAGCCACGGCTGCGTGCTCGAGGAGGAGGAGGAGGCGAAGGAGGAGGAGGAGGAGGAGGAGGAGGAGGAGGAGGCGGAGGCGGAGGCGGAGGCGGAGGCGAAGGAGCAGGAGGAGGAGGAGGGAGGAGAGGAGGGAGGAGGAGGAGGAGGAGAGAAGAGTAAGAAGGAGGAGGAGGAGTAAGGAGGGAGGAGGAGGAGGGAGGAGGAGGAGGAGGAGCAGGAGGAGGAGGAGGAGGAAAGGGAGGACGAGGGGGACATCAGAAAAGAGGGGGTCAGGATGAGGATCAGTGAGGAATCCACAGCGCTTCATCCCTTCATCCCTTTTCGTACGCACGCACCGAAATGATTTCGCGCGAACGGCCGCGGATTTCGCGCGAACTGCGCGCGAACGGCGCACTCTCGCGCATACACGCCTACATCGGCACACATATACACACACGCACACAACCTTGATTTGCATATATGCTTGTATCCATGCGCGTGCGCGCGTGTACTACGTTTGCGTAAGGATAACTACGTGCGCGTGTGGTTTGCTCGAGAGTCAATATTATAGCCTTGCTGTGCGTGTCTGGATGGCATACGCATGCTGGCTGGTTTATCAGGCGCAGGGTCAGACTTGTTTCCGTCCGTGTACTCTCCGTTCTCAGCTGTGCCTCACTTGTGGGTGCAGGCAGACCTGGGGCTCGGAAGGCACGACTGCGTGCGCGCATACATGCGATTGAGCCCGTGCTGGGGCAACGCTGCCACTGTTCGTTCAGCAAGGGGGCCTCATTTTTTTTGGTTCCCGACCATCCTGTGGTGTTGTGCTCTCATCTTGAGGGGGCAGCGCCCCGCACCACGCCACCCGGGCGACACCACTGGATCGAGCGCCTGCGTCGGCGCGGCTCGTTCTGGCCTCCCGTTTGGAAGGCCATGCCTCGCGGCACTCTACGTGCCAAGAAGAGCGCGCGGAGGCAGAAGGACCATCCACTTTTTTGTTCGACACTTCGGACAGCCCATGCGGGTTGCGCCGAGTCACCGCCCACGGGGAAGCGTGGCTGATACACTGCTGTGTCTGTTTACGCCTCGAGCGTCGCGGTGCCCGGACCCGCTGTCGCGAGCAGCCCGCTGGATCCCGAAGGGATCCTCAAAATATGTTGTCTGTCGCAGTTGCGGCCATAGCCATAGTCAACAGGTATTTGCGGTATGCAGTTGGCGATCTGTTATCGCCGATTGCCGAGGTGTTTTTTGGGGGGTTACCGAGTGGGCGTGCCTCATTCAGCTCCCATCGCCTGCGCCGCCATTTTCAGCTCTTACCACATGCACCATTTATCCACCCCATCTCATTCAGGAGGGACAAAAACCACAGACACAATCAATCGTCGATTCCCAGGAAAATCTGGAAACACATTGGAAGTGTGGGGGGGGAAGACGAAAACCCAGAAAGTATGGGAAGATATGGGGACTCCTGTTATTTGTGTCTATTTATTTGTGTGTCCCTGGGCCCCTTTAAATTCTGCCTTAGGGATACTTTGCCGAGCAGACCGCGGACGAGCCACCTCTGCTCTGCGACTCAACATGGCCAGCGATCCCTCTTTCTGGCTCATCTGTTGTCTGCCCCTGCCCCTTCTCTCCTCCACGTCCTCCTCCTCCTCCTCCTCCTCTTCCTCCTTCTCCTCCTCCCCCCTTCTCTCCTCCACATCCTCCGCGTCCTCCTCCTCCATGTCCTCCTCATCCTCCTTTCTTTCTTTCCCTCTGGGGCAAGGTCCGGCATAGCCGAAGGCAAGGTTCGGCATGGCCGAGTCGGCGTCGGCAACGCCATTGATCGATTCAGTGGGGCAGTTGCTGGCGGAGGACGCTCCCGATCCCCCTCTCCCTCTCCCTGCCTTTTGTGGCAGCTGGTGCGCCAGCGCTGAAGGCCGCTCCACGAGTGAGCACGCTCTCTCTGCCATGCCGCGGGGCCGTGGCCCAACTTTTGGAAAGCTGGCTCAGTATCTCGAGCAGGTTCACCCTTCCAGCCTTGACACAACAAGTTGGCCAGATTTGTCTTAAGGATTTCTGGAAAACTTGCCCAGGTTTTTTAAGTGATGATTTTCTTGATCATATTTTCGGCTGTAGTAGGGTCATACTTAATATGGGCCTACCAGCGGTCTAGCAACGGCGCTGGAAGGGCGGCGTCGGGGATGATCCCAGGTATTTTTCACCCGTCTGCTCCCCCGCCTAATCCGCTGGCAGTTGCACGCTTCGCGTCCGCAAGCGACCTGACCGAAAATAACGGGTCTTGCTGCGTCTGTGATGGATCGGCCATGTGTCTCGTCGGCGAAACAATTGCAGGGGGGGCGCATTGCAAAGGGCTTTGCGGGGGGGCCGTATTGCAGGGGGGGCGATTTGCAAGGTTGTCTTGAGTTCCGAGGGGGCGTATTGCAAAGGCCTTGTGGCCAGTTTAGCAAACCTTGAGAATAGAACAGATCGGGCGCAAGAGGCAGAAGTGCGACGGCGGCATGGTGCAGTGACGGCCTTAATGCGAGGGCGACAATCTTGCGACCGTCGGTCCATCCGGGCACTGCTCCTGTGTCACGTAAACATGAACTGGCATTTAGCACCCATACCTATGCGACCCCCCGATGTTTCGTGGTGGAAATCCAGAGGGTCTTAGGCTGTGTCTTGTCAGAGCGGGTCCGCGCTCGAATGGGGCCTCCCCGCGGGGTCCGACACTCCGCGCCCATACTCGTAGCGCGCCCTCAAATCGCAGCGCGCGGGGCAGCACCCCCTCTAGGTGTATGGGTGTGTTGCCCGTTCATCTCGTGGAGGCCTCGGGGACATTGCTGTTTTCCGCAGCGCACATCGAGGCTCCCACACACGTCCGAGCAAACGGCGTCGAAGCGAGCGCGGCGAGGTGAAACCAAAGACATGCTCAGCAGGCCTAAAGGAAAATCAGGATGATGATGCTCATGATGATGATGACGATGATGATGATGCTGCTGCTGATGACGATGCCGATGCTGATGCTGCTGATGATGATGATGATGATGATGATGATGGTGATGCTGCTGCTGCTGATGATGATGATGATGATGATGATGCAGATGCTGAAACTCCTGATGATGCTGCTGCTGATGATGCTGATGATGATGATAACGAGGATGATGCTGATGATGCTGCTGCTTCTGCTGATGCTGCTGATGATGCTGCTGCTGCTGATGATGATGATGCTGATGGCGATGAGGATGACGATGATGCTGCTGATGATGGTGATGGTGATGATTATGATGCTGATGATGATGACACTGCTGTTGCTGCTGCTGCTGCTGCTGATGATGATGATGATGATTATGATGATGATGCTGATGATGATGACGATGATGATGCTGATGCTGATGCTGATGCTGATGCTGATGCTGATGCTGATGCTGATGCTGATGCTGATGATGCTGCTGATGATGATGATGATGATGATGATGATGATGATGATGATGATGATGCTGATGATGATGATGATGATGATGATGATGCTGATGATGATGATGATGATGATGAGGAGGAGGTGGAGGAGGAGGAGAGGAGGAGGAGGAGGAGGAGGAGGAGGAGGAGTAGGACGAGGAGGAGGCGGATGAGGAGGAGGAGGAACAGGAGGAGGAGGATGAGGGTTCGGAGGAGGATTCGGAGGAGGATTCGCAGGAGGATTCGGAGGAGGAGGAGGAGGAGGAGCAGGAGGAGGCGGTAGGTGAGGAGGAGGAGCAGGAGGAGGAAGGAGGAGGAGGAGCAGGCGGGAGATGCTGAGGAGGAAGGAGGAGGAGCAGGAGGAGGAGGAGGAGGAGAGGAGGAGGAGGCGGAGGTGGAGGAGGAGAGGAGGAGGAGAGGAGGCGGGGAGGGATAGGAGGATGAGGAGGAGAGGAGGAGGAGGAGGAGGAGGAGGAGGAGGAGGAGGAGAGGAGGAGGGAGGAGGAGGGAGGGAGGATGAGGAGGAGGAGGAGGAGGAGAGGAGGAGGAGGAGGAGGAGGAGGAGGGGAATGGGGGAGGGAGCAGGAGGGGTTGCGTCATGGGGTGACTCATGGGTTATGGGGGCTCCTGGGGCGGATGTTGGAGGGCTCGTGTTGTGGGGCCTCTGCGGTGCACTGCGGGGCGCGTCCCAGGCCCATGCGTTTTCCTCTTGTTTCTTACCCGCGGGGGGCCAGGCCCATCTCTTTCGGCCAGGGACGTCCCTCTACAGAAGGAATATGCATACACAGTCAAACCATAGCCAGGGGCCGATGTTGGTTAAACTTATTGTATGGCTATGCTTGGGGCTATGGTTTGGCTATGTTTGATTTCCCACCCAAAATTCGACCGTAGGGGGCATGCCCGACCGAACCATCTCCCTCGCGCGTTCCGCTGCGTCGCCGCGGCGCGCGGCCGCCTTGGGCGAGGCTTGGGCTCGGGGGTCCTGAGGGTCAACGTTCGGCAGCAGATCCTGGGAGCCTGGTGCGTTTGCCCTCGCAGTTCCGTTGCCTCGCGGCGGCTCGCCTCGGCGAGCGTCTGGGAGTCGATGAGGTAGCGCCGATTCGCGTCGGTTCAGCGTCGATCCGCGCCGATCTAGCGTCGACTTAGCGTCGGTTGGCGTCGATTTAGCGCAGGTTCGTGTCGATCAGCGTCGATTTAGCATCGAGCAGCGCCGACTCGCAAGGGCAGACAAGATGGTATGACAGGCTCCCTTGAGTTGCCACCGAAGGTCAGTATCGTTTAACCGACCCTATATCCCCATCCCTATCCTTATCCTGACCTTCACCATCTCAGCACCCCAGTTGGGAAGATACCCCTCGAGACCCCAAGGAACCATACTGTGCCCCCCTCCAGGGTGGTAGATCGGCCAGTGGGGCTCAGGCCACGCTGGTGGGGATAGGCTTCGGATAAAGGGTGCTCAGTGGATAAGCGCGTGCTGTTGTTCGGCGGCCTCAGAAGTGTGGTGACGCCGCGGTGTGGTCTGAGATTGGCGCCGTTGGGGCTTAGGGGTCACCACGTTGCGCCAAAGGTCTGAGGAGCCCCCGTCGGGGCGCGGCAGGGGTCTCTGTCGAGGTCCTCGCCCTCCCCCCAGGGTGCGCGTTGCAAATCACACCCTTTGCAAACCATGCCCATCGGCGTGGCCGACTTCTGCCGATGCCTAAGGCCTGGCGTGAGGGAGCATCCCGATGTGTGCTCTTCGCGAGCCGCTTCCCAATTGCTGAACTGTCAGCTTGTGATGCCACGGCCTGACGGCAGAGTTCATGGGGGTCCTCCATCTCTCCATTCTTCCAGTTCCACCTTCTTTCTCCCCTCCTCCTTCCTGGTTCTCATCCTCCTTTTTCTACTCCTCCTGCCCCCCTTTCTCTTCCTCCTCCTCCTCCTCCTGCTCCTCCTTCCCCCCCTTTCTCCCCTCCTCCTTCTCACTGTTCCCCTGCCCCCATGTATAGTTCTTCCTACTTATACTCGTTCCCACTGTTCTTCTGCTTCTTTTTCTTATTCAGTCCTCTTCCTCCTCCTCCTCCTCCTCCTCTTCCCCTCCCCACTCTCATCCGCCTTCTTCTGCTTCCTCATTCTTCATCCCTGTCTCGTCCTCTGCCTCCC